CACGAGTGTTGGCTCCCTAGCCCACAAGGTGGTAAAAAGAAAATTCGTYTGTATCATGAATCMGGTAARGATAGCAGCTTGGCTCATTGTTGTATGAGTGCCCCAGCGTTCGCTCGCCATGTGRAAAAGCACGACTTGCAAGATCAAGTCTTTGTTGCATATGTGCGCCCAGTGCAAGAAGGGGAAACAAAAGAAGAAGCTAAGTCTCAGATAATTGAAGAACTTCTGAAARAATTCGYTGATGTGGYTGAGGMCCCAAGCGGTRTCGTTGAGCGAYCCATCCGACATCGCATTGATATTATTCYGGGGAGTTCGYCTCCCAAAGGGCCCATCTATYGAATRTYGCCACAAGAATTAGAAGAATTGCGAACCCAACTCGATGRGTTGCTAGAAAAAGGATGGATTMGACCAARCTCTTCTCCCTRTGGTGCGCYTGTGYTGTTTGTTCCAAAGAAGGATGGTGGCGTTCGCATGTGCATAGATTATAGAAGATTGAATGATATAACAGTAAAGAATGYTGAGCCATTGCCAAGAATAGAWGACTTGCTGGATCGTGTGCAGGGTTGCAAATTGTTTTCTAAGATTGATATGAAATCCGGCTACCATCAGATTGAGGTAGAACCGGAAGACCAACATAAAACTGCCTTTAGAACAAGGTATGGGCACTATGAGTTCATAGTTATGCCCTTTGGTCTAACTAATGCCCCTGCAACTTTCCAAAGATCTATGAATGAACTATTTCGCGACTGGCTTGACAAATTTGTGGTTATTTACCTAGACGATATTCTGATTTTTAGTAAAAATGAGAAAGAACACGCTGAGCACCTTCTACTTGTGGTTAATAAGTTGCGTGAAGCAAATCCGAAGTTGAACCCTAAGAAGTGTGAATGGGCTAAGCGTCAAGTACTGTATCTTGGACATGTGATTGATGGAGATGGGATCAAACCGGAAGACTCTAAGATAGCAGCAATCAGAGATTGGCCGAACCCCCGCACTTTGACTGAGTTGCGGTCGTTCCTCGGGTTAGCCAACTACTATCGTAAGTTTGTGAGACATTTCACCACRATAGYTGCGCCCCTTCGCAGATTGCTCAAGAAAGAAACAATMTGGAAGTGGGACTCGAGTTGTACCTCTTCATTTAAGCGTCTAAAGCATAGTCTAATCAACTACCCGGTCTTGAAAGTTGYTGACCCATCACTACCATTCGYTTTGACCACTGACGCTAGTCAATATGGCATAGGTGYTGTACTCCAACAGGATGATGGGCATGGATACARACCTGTGGAGTTCATGTCTTGTCGGTTGCCTAATGAGAAGGTCGCCGCTTCCACGTATGAAAGAGAGTTGTTTGCTCTCCGCGAAGCTTTGAACCATTGGCGACACTATCTCTTAGGAAGACATTTCAAGGTCTATTCAGACCATGAAACACTTCGATGGCTCAAGACACAGGCCCGGATGACACCTAAGTTGACAAGGTGGGCCGCTGAGATCGATCTTTATGATTTTGAGTTGAAGCCAGTCAAGGGTAAGTATAACGTTGTTGCTGATGCATTAAGTCGTCGTTCTGATTTCTTCGGCGCTATTGTAACATACTTAGATATAGGCGCTGATATACAAGAGAGAATAAAAGAAGCGTATCCCGATGACCCGGTCTATGGCGCATTGATTAAACGTGTACA